TTCCTCCTCCTCCTGCTTCTTCTCTTTCTCCTCCTCTTCCTCCTTCTCCTTCTTTTGAGGCAGGGTCTTACTTTATCACCATTGGTGGTCTGAAACTCACTATGTGGAGCAGGCTGGCCTCAAACTCACAGAGATCCTCCTGCCTCTGCCTCCCTTGTGTACCACCACGCCTGGCCTTGTATCAACTTCTTAAGATCTCATTTCCCCATTTCAAGACTAGCTTTTTTTTTTCTTTTCTCCATCTCAGAGGGGTTAGCTACATAATTTTCAGGGCTGAATGCAAAAATGAAAATGCAGGGACTTCCTGAGGGAAAACACGAGGTACCAGATTCTCCTCCCCAAAAGTCAATGTTGGAGAAAGCCATCAGGGAAGACTGTGATGGGCCATGTGGGTTCTACTAATGAAATTCTTCAAAGAGAATGTTAAAATAGTGGGCAATGCCTGGGCTTGTTCAAAATTAAGTCCCTTGTTCAAAATTAAGAACTGAAGGATGAACTTTAACCCAAGTCTGTGGGACCTCTATGCTGCCCTACATGCTCACAGACTGTCTTGCCCACCTACTTACTCACTCTGAAAGGTGACCTCTAAACACTGGGCCAGGAGGGAAGGGAGTCTGGTGAGCCAACTGGCTGTGTCTGCTGATGTCACTGGTGTGGCTGCCAAGGCTGCTCGGGTCAGTGAGTACTGCTTATATCCTAGAGCAGGGGCATTTGACTGATCTAGGGTCTGTGTGGTGCCATAAACCTATTTCTAGGTCTTCTTCCATGTGATTGGCTACCCCTCCCTGAAACCTGAATGCCAAGGGATTGCAGTTGAGAGTGTTACAGCCCAGGCATTGCCCACTATTTTAACATTCTCTTTGAAGAATTTCATTAGTAGAACCCACATGGCCCATCACAGTCTTCCCTGATGGCTTTCTCCAACATTGACTTTTGGGGAGGAGAATCTGGTACCTCGTGTTTTCCCTCAGGAAGTCCCTAGAGTCTGCAATTCATTTTGGTTTATCATCGTGAATATCCCTTAGTAAGAGGGAGGGACAGGCAGCCTCATCCTCTCAAGTGTGACTGACTCTGGGTCATGATGGCAAAGTTCTCTAAATGGCCTCATAGGGGATTTGCACCATTTGCTTCCAGGAGTTTCTGACTTTTCCTTAAGGGCCTCAGTGAAGATTGGAAGCTTGGTAGCATCAGAGACATTTAGTCTCTATCTACTGCGGCCTGTGCCATAGTCCTTAGCTGTGGATATTAGAACATAGTACCGTAGGCTGGGAGGCCCAGAGACAACAGAAATATGTTTCTCACTGTTTGAGAGGCTAGAAATTTGAAATCAGGAAAACTTCCCCTCATGAGTACACAGCAAGAAGCAACAGCCTGCAGCTAGGGAGGCCTCAGCTGAACTAGCAGTAGCCTATTGTCTTCTCGCTGTGTATTGTGAGGGCAAGGGTAAGGGCCTGTTTTATTTGGGCCTGATTCTACTCATGAGACTGACCTTCCCAAAGCCACACATAGTACTACCATATCTCAGGGAATCTTTCTCTTTCTTTCTTTCTCTCCCTCCCTCCCAAACTGTCTTTCCTTTTTCTTTCCTTTGTAGGACTGGGGTTGAGTCCCAGGCTTCCTGAATATTAGCACTCAGTGTTCTGCCCAAAGTCATATCCCCACCACATTTTTTTCTATTTTTTTTGCTTTTGAACTTTTTGTCGCCCGTGCATGCTTGTGTGTGTGTGCTTGTGTGTGTGTATGTGTGTGACTGTGCATATGTCATAAAGCCCATGTGGAGGGGTCTGAGTGTGACTTATGATATTTGGTTTTCTCCTTTCACCTTGTGGACCTCAGGGATTGAACTGGTGTGGTTAATCTTGAGAGTAAGCATCCTTACTTGATAAGTCATCTTGCTGGTCCTCTGCCTCAACCCCTTAGTATCTCAGAGTACAAACCTGCTCTACCACGTCTGTCAAGAGACTGAGAATTTCAACATAGAAAACTCAAATGTTCAAATGATAGTACATAAAAAGATTTATTTTGGGGGGGCAAAAATTCAAATTAATTGCTAATGTTTATACTGAGGGATTTTATAAAGAAATCCCATTAGAGCCTCTTTGGGGGAAGATTCTGTATTTCTGGTGGTGGTAAGGCTTCTATTCCCAGGACTGCCATTGCTTGGGGTGGGAAAGCAGTTTCCTTTCTCAGGAGCAACTCTCTTTCCACTTACTCCTCTCCCCTCACCTGTCTGTCTGGGGCTGCTCATGCCATGTTAAATATTTTGAATATCACCCCTGCTGAGAGCCAGTGAGTTGGTAACCCTGCTCTTCAGAGAGGCAGCCGTCAGCCACTTCCTCAAAAACAAATTTAAATTGTGACTCCAGGGTCACTCCGTTTCACTGATTAATCTGTTAGATTGTCAGTATTTGCCACCAATTCATTTACCTGGAGCAAGCTTTCCAGATCCAGTCTAGGAGGAATTCAGAAAGGCTGGCTCGGTGTGTGTGTGTGTGTGTGTGTGTGTGTGTGTGTAGTGGGTACCCTGGGGACAGTCATCCTGATGAAATGAAGAACCGGGTATGGAGAGCTCAGTTCGGGAGAGAGAAAAATTATGATGTCTGATTTCTCTGTACACCCTAACTCGGGGATGGGGCGGGGAGGGAGGCGGCTCCTCACAAAATCATCTCTGCCCTGAGGAAGCAACTCTTGGAACCTCTTCTGTTAGCGCTGAACACAAAGGGATCTGGGACTCATTCTATCTTCCTTGCTCAAGGCATCAAACCAATGACCTGACCTCTACACCATGACTACCACTGCCTTTGGCTGGCAGAACCCAGCAAACAATGACTCGCTTGCCTGGAGGAGATGTGTGGGTTTCTATGGCGGATAGGGGTCTTACTTAGTGCCCTTCCCCTCCTTCCGCATCCTGAACCTGTTACGAGCGGATACAAGGAGTGAACTGGGCTAAATAAGGAAAGAGAGAATGTGGCAGGAGGGTTATCTTGGCTGTCATGTTCTTAAAATATTTTGGTGTAGACAGTGTGCATATGTGTGAAGTTAAATTTAACGCATACCTTAGGTGTTCGTTAACATTTCGCGAGTTCCTGTCTGTTTGCTTATTGCTGTGTAACACCGCCCTCAAGTTTAGTGGCTTGGAATGCAGTCCCTGAAGATTGGTCACGGATCTGTGGGGCACCTGGCCAAGCTGGGCAATTCTCACTGGGAGTATTGTGTGTTGTTGCAGCCAGGGCTGGAAGCCTCAGAAGCTTCCTTAGGGCCTGGCACTTAAGATGGATTCCTTCTTCTGTGGCTGGCACCTAAGCTTGGTTGGCTGGCACAGTGGGGGATGGGCCAGGCATATCTTTCTTCATTTGGTCTCTTCACATTTGGCTGACTTGTGGCTTCTTTACAACATGGCCATCTTAGGGTAGTTAGTGCCCTGAGAACATTCTAGGAGAGTCGTGTCCTAAAGCTACAAGGCTCCTGTCACTTGGCCTCGTAGTTCACAAAACCGCCATACTCCCTGTTGCCTTCACATTGCTGTGATGATTAATTTAATGTATTAGTGTGGCCAGACCCTGGTAATCAGATATTTGGTCAAAAGATATTTTAGATGAAGGTATTTCTTTAAAAAGAGGAGATTAACATTTTAACCACTTTGAGTACAGTAGGTGGTCCTTCTAATGCAGATGGGCCTTATTTAATTAGCTGAAGGGTTCCTGACTCCCTGTGAAAGAGAGGACTCTGCTAGACAGTTGCTTTTGGGTTTCAATTGCAGCATCCTGTCCCTGAGCCTCAAGCCTGCTAGACTGTCCTGTGGCTTTTAGATTTGTCAGCCTCCTCATGTGCATAAGCCAATTCCTTAAAATCAAGTCTCAGTCTCCTCCCCTCCCTGTGTCTCCCACCCCATTTTCCTCTCTTTCTTATCACTCTGTCTGGAGAACCATCATGCATGGGCCTTCATCAATAAAATCCCATGTTTTCTAGTTCAGTGCATTCTCATCTGGTCCCCCTTTAGCATCGCGTCCTGCACTTTCTAAAGGGAGCTTATTGTTCCAACCATACGGGACTGAGCATAAGGACATGGCATTGAAGTTTCTTGTTGGTGATCCCAAGGACAAGGAAGCAAGATAGTCTTGAGCATTACCTGGTTATTTTGAATCCACCGGTTCTGAGAAGTGATCGCATAAACAGAGAAACAACCCTGAGCTATGAGACTCCCACCTACCTCTAATTACTGGCTTTCACCAATACTGCTTTCTTGCCCCAAACTAGAGAAAGCTGAGTGGCCCATGGCCTTGGGTGAGTTTACAGCATGGGCATTTCTCTCCCTTTCTGCATGTGTCTTGGGATTCATATGACTTGAAGCTCCATATTTAATTGCATGAAGAAAAACCAGGACATGGAAATGAGAACCTGGACAGGCCAGCCATCAGCTGACCCCAAGTTACTAGAAAGGGCGAGTGGCCCATGCAACCATTGTGCTTGGCAAGACTTCTATTTCCATGTTCAGTGTCTTGGTGGCCCACTGGATGTTGACTGGTCCTTTCTCATGACTGCTCCTTCTAAGTGGAGGGGGATGGTGGATATAAAGAAGTTATTTACTGCTCTCTCCTTTTGGGGAATGGAGACTTCTTGTGGAGCTATAAAAGAGAGAAACACCAAGGTGAGGTGTGGACCACTTGTGCTGCTAATCTCAGTTACAACTGCATAGATGATAACAAAGCCATGTGTCTTAGTTAGGGTTATTGCTATGGTAAAACCCCATGACCAAAAGCAACTTGGTATAGCAAAGGGTATATTTTTCATCTCAAAACTCTCAGGTCACAGTCCACCACTGAGGGAAATCAGGACAGGAACTCAGAAGTCATGAAGAAACACTATTTACTATCTTGTTCCTCATGAGTTGCACTGTTTGCTTTCTTACAGCACCAAGGACCACCTGTCAAGGATAGCACCACTCACAATGGGCTGGGCCCTCCAACATCAGTCACTGATTAAGAAAATACTCCACATGCTTGCTTTGGCAGCACATATAATAAAATTGGAACAATACAGAGAAGATTAGCAAGGTCCCTGTGCGAGGATGACGTGCAAATTCATGAAGCATTCTTTTTTGTTTTTGTTTTTTTTTTGGTTTTTCAAGACAGGGTTTCTCTGTGTAGCTTTGGAGCCTATCCTGGCACTCGCTCTGGAGACCAGGCTGGCCTCGAACTCACAGAGATCTGCCTGCTTCTGCCTCCCGAGTGCTGGGATTAAAGGTGTGCACCACCAACGCCCTGCCCACATTCCTTATTTTTTAAAAGAAAAAAATAAGAAAAAGAAAATACTCTACACAATTGCCTACAGGCCAATCTTATGGAGGTATTATCTTAAATGTGGTTCCTTCTTTTCACATAACTTTAGTTTGTGTCGAGTTGACAAAACAAAACAACAAAGCAAAGCAGACAAAAAGCAGCAAATGGAATACCCTGTGTGAGAAGAGTGGCCATGCATCACCAATAGTGAAGTTATTTCAGTGACACTGCCCTCAAGCTGCTGTTGACTAGAACACTTTCTTTGACCCATATGCCTTAGTTATTTGCCTATAGGGATGTGAGACTCATGTAATATTCTGTAGGCTTGGTCCATTCTTTAGCTGCTTAGACACATTTTTAGGGCTGTGAGCCCAGTCAGCACTAAATACAAATTTGCTGAATACAAGAACAATAAGTGGCCAGGGAAGATAGGTGGTTAGTTCTGGTAGGAATGGTACAAAGGTTCGAGGACCCAATTTTACCAACTTGGATAACGGATACAGAGGCAAGCTACATTTCAATGAAATTTGATGTATGGACTTTTAGAGCTCATTTTTAGATTTTATTTTTTTTCTTGAGTTCTCATAATCGGAGTGCATGTTTGCTGTTTGCCTACTCACCTATGTTACATTACAGCTGTTTCCTTTACTGTGCCCCGTGGCTCTGGGAGACTGGTCCATCTGAACCCTATGGCTGGGTTCTGTCATCTTCTGGCTTCTGGTTTGTTAGCCTATGGGGAGAGCTCTTTTTCTGAATAAGGATGAACTCAGAGCATTAATCTCTACAGTGCCTCTTGCTGACAAACTGTTTTTGGCCGGGGCCCCTCTGCTGCAGAGTTTGTGCTCTCAAATCCACCTCTTTCTTCTTTGTAGCCCTCTGCTCTCTTACTTCTCCTCCTCACGTCTTTCCCAATCCTGTTTTCTACGCTGTCTCCCAATATTTCTACATCACTTCATGTTAAACACTCCTTAACTCCTAATCTGAGGCTTTCCTCTAGTTCCTGCCTGGACTCAGGCTCATGGTTCAGGTTAGTGGTTTAAGACGGGGATTCATTTTGTACCCCAGCAGGCATTTGGCAAAATCTGGAGACAGGGTTGATTGTCACAAGTAGGGATGAGTTGTGGTGTGTGCTGTGGGCATCTAGTGACCAGAAGCCAGTGATGCTGCTGGCTATCCCATGATGCACCGGGCATTCCCCACAGTAGGCAGTTATCCAGCCCCAAATGTCAATAGTGCTGTGCCTGAGAAATCCTACTTTAGATGTTAGTGCTCATGTCCCCTATACAACTGTAGTATCAGCACAAATTTGTAGGCTCTATGTAAACAAAGCAGTGAAACCCACTGAAACGCAAACTTGTAATGTTAATTGAAAAGTCAAAATGAAGTTGTTTTGCTGAAATCAAATGGATACTCACAATGAGAATGTGGGGCTGACTATTGTTGCTTGGGGGTTTGTTATGACTGGAATATATAACCTGGATTGTGACTCATTTCTCTCTGAATATCTGTCTACTGGGAAACCTTGTCCCGGGGTACTCTGCAGGGCCGAGTTGGCTTTTATTTGGCTCCCATATAATATTCATCTGAAGATGACCATTATTATTGGTTCTCATTACCCTGTGTCAATTGAAGTTATGTTAATTGGTGCCAATATGTTCATAAATGCAGCCACAAAGGAGGACCCTATGGCATTTCTCAGTCTTCAGTCTCATTGGAAATGTTGCTAAAGACTTCAATAAATCAAGAGAGGATATTAAAATTAAATGTTTATGTGAACTCCTGATCCCCAGGCCTATCGTGGGAGTCTTGTGAGAGAAACGTTGCTGGTGTTGGTTGGAAAATAGAAATGATCTTTGCTTCCTTCCCAGGGCCCGTGTTGTGAGGCTCAGAAAGACTCTGCCTTGGGTAGAATGTTTTGATGATAAACAAATAGAGATCTTTTTATTTTTAAAAATGCATCATTACAAAGAATGTCTTCTGTTTTTTTTGTTTTTTGAGATAGGTGTCTTTATCTCTATATATCCCTAGCTGGCCTAGAACTTGATATGTAGACCAGGCTGGCCTTGAACTCACAGAGATCCACCTGCCTCTGTCTCCTGAGTGATGGGGTTAAAGGTGTATGCCACCACACTCAAGAAAGTCATTCTAATACAATCTTTATCCCCGGGTGGTGTAGAGAAGGTAAGTTTCCACCCATATTTCAGTCAACATGTTTTGTTTTCTGAGCTATGGCTCTGCAAACAGCCTCTAGATAGCAATGTGGGGTTTCTTTCTCTTTGTGAATGATATTTGTTAGGCTTCTCCCTTCTCCCCCAGGCTGGGGAGTGTGTGAGCTTCAGGAAGCTTAAGGATTTTTCACTTCTTTGCAAAAGGCTGTCTTCTAAATCACCCCCTCCCTGCCACCCCCGTATCTCACAACACATCCAATTGATCGTACTAACCACAAAATCTTATGTTGCTCTTTATTTCATTCTTGTATTAGCACCTTTTGCAAATCTAAAACAATTATGAAACCATTTAGAAACAATAACGCTGAAATGCAAATACTTCAATGTTATTAAACTGTTAGCATCTTGGTGAATTATTTCCTACGGTTAATTACTTCATTTCTTTATAGCCAGCCACGATGGACTGCCACTTAGACTTGCTTCCTGTTCTATCAGACAATATAGTTACACGTTTGAAATCTCTGTGGACACTCACCACTGCTTTCTGCATTATCTCAAAGTGTTTTTTGGTTTTGGTGTCCATGTTGGTGAGAAGTGCTTCAATTTAATTTGGATTTTAATTTTAAATAAATATTTGGCCATGATGATTTTTATGAAAAGCTCTTCAGTGGCTTAATGAAGGATTTTTATGGATCTATATAACACCCAGGTCTTAATTACTACAAATGGATAATAAACCCTTTCATATACGAGAATGGGAAACATAGTGAGCACCATTAGGAACGATTGGATTTTCACTTGATAATTCAGTAAAAAAATGTAAATACTGCAAATAACAGCCCAAGGGGGTGTCTCTATAGATACAGGAGAAACCACGGAGTAGAACTAATTTTTACAGAGATGTGGCTTCATGTTTTTTGAGCTGTGACAAAAGCAAAATATAAATTCATGCAGCGAATGAAATAGTTATCCATTTGGTGTGTGCTAATTAATTTCTCTCTGTGTGCTGGAGACATTTAATCCCTCATCACCAAAAGCCCTTGAGTTGAGGACTATGCCTAGAGAGGAATGTGTGATGAGAGGCAGTTACCTACACTGTACCAGTGGGAATGCAGAAAGACATTTATTTATTTATGAGACAGGGTCTTACTATGTAGCTCTGCCTGTCCTGGAACTCTCTACATAGGCCAGGCTGGCCTCAGACTGTCAGAGATCTGCTTGATTCTGCCCCTCGAGTGATGGGATTAAAGGACTGTGATGTCTGGATTTTGCACTTAATAAATTATGCTATTAGCATCATTTTAAAGTGCACTTCTACTTTTAGAAAGTTGGCTGTAAAAAGGCACATTGTGCAACTCCAGCAGTAGCCAAGACACCTCACAATTAACAGCGTCTCTTACCTGCCTCAAAGGCCATATCCTGTGACTGCCTTGTACCACTTAAGTTTCTGTCCCTGCACTCTGTGACATTTGGGCCATGACTGAGCCACCTTGTGATGTGCTTCTCAGTAGGTCCATGCTGTTAATACCCACAATTGTATTTTACTTTTAGTAATTTCCTATGCAGAGGGTTTTTGAACTAGCATGTATTGAAGACCCTCTTCAAGACGAGGGAAAATGCGACAGTGCTTGGAGGCTCCACTCCAAGATCTGGATGCCCTAGGTTTGGGTGGAATTCCCATTTATGGTGCTGATACATACTCCATGCCCAGACCATGCTGCCAAAACATTGGTTTCTTCAAGCAGGTCAGACATTCAATCTTCCTGAAATTGTTCTTTTTCTATTCCTTTGTTTTGCAGTTGCATGAGAGAAATTTTGGAATGGGAATGTGGGCTCAGTGGTGGAATACTTACCTAGTATATGCAAAGCCCTGGGTTCAATCCTCAGATAGGAAAAAAAGCTCAGCTCATAATTATATGGGCCAACATTTCAGTATGTGTTTCCCTCTTGACTTTCTAAAGGGTTCAGGGTCTGTGTGTGTGTGTGTGTGTGTGTGTGTGTGTGTGTGTTTATGTTTGTATATTTGTGTAAATATATGTGCACGTGTGTCCTTGCATGTGGAGGCAACAGACAATGCCTGATGTCTTTCTCAGTCACTCTCTACCTTATTTTTGATAAAGTATCTCTCACTGAAGGAGCACCCTGTCTCAGTTCCACTGGCTGTTGAGAAAACCCCAGCTTCTAGATCATCCATACAGGGGTGACAGGCCTGTCACCACTCCTGGATGCTTATGTGAATTCTTGGGACTGGAATCCTGGTCTTTGTGTCATTTCCCCAGTTCTGTGTAGGAGTACTATATAATAGTATTCTAATGAGAAACTGAACGGTAACTTTTTACAAAAAGAGACTCATACCTTGACTCTGGTGTGAATTAGGGTGAAGCACTAAAACTCTAGAACCAAAGTGTGAAGACACCCCCCTACCTCCACAGCACCAATAATACAGTTTATTGACTTTTTTTTTTTTTTTTTGGTTTTTTAGGACAGGGTTTCTTTGTGGCTTTGGAGGCTGTCCTGGAACTAGCTCTTGTAGACCAGGCTGGTCTCAAACTCATAGAGATCCGCCTGCCTCTGCCTCCCGAGTGCTGGGCTTAAAGGCATGCGCCACCAACGCCCAGCCAGTTTATTGGCTTTTATAATAAGGTGTTTGAGCTGG